ACTGTAGACCAAAAAAGTATATTAAAAATTCCCGTGTTAATAGCAAACATCTTTTTTCTTATGACTCGGGCCCAAAGTTTGTACAGAGTTTTATTTCTGAAGAAAATATTGCAGCTGTGCATGAAACTAAATAGCCACGTGATTTCTTAACATTTTTTTTTCTTTTAATATGAGGAGATCTGGTGTGAAGATGGATCAAGCATGGGTACCTGGCTGAACATTGTCCATTAAGAAATTGCTTCGGTATCAACAGAATAGCTTCAGTCGAGGGTCAGGGAAAATGTCCCCCGCTTTGAAATGTCCTCAGTGTGTCTCTGTAGCAGAGTTCTTGAAATTCAAATGGTAGTTTCGAGACAAAAATCTTGCCAGGCACTGATTTCTGAAATCCAACCCCCATGCTTGTCCCCTAGGAAAAAGAAAACAAACAACAAAAACAAAAACGAAAACACAAGTAATACTGAATTTAAGTAAATGTATACCTCCAAAATACTGAAAACAGCCGAAATCAAGAAAAGACAGAATTTGCGTTCTTAGTGAAATACCTTTAAACCTAACTGACAAGAACCAAGTCAGAAAAAAAGACTAACATAACTTTGAGTAATATTCATACAGTTCACTAAGCATTATGGAATAGCATGCATTAATATTGTACGGTTATTTTACATCACCTATACCAGAAGGTCCTGACTGACAGACAGCGAAGGCTACCGGTGTAGAAAAATCTTACTTCAGAAGAGCAATATAATACAGATTTCACAGGCACTACATTTTAATATATCAGGTATTATGCTGGTTTTCTTATAATTCTTTCTGTCCTAAAGCTGGCATTATAACAATGACCAAAAAGGCAAGGATTGAAGTAAACGGAAAGTAGATACCAAAGTTGATATAGTTTTTCTCTTCAGATAGATTAGTGCATAGTTCTCATGCAGATAACCACTGCTATGCATTTACATGGTTGGAAAGCAGAGTGAATTGAGCCCAAGTTGTCACATTTGTGTAAATCATTTTGTCAGCCTGTAATAGCACCATGTAATGGATTTGCATTAAACATTAAATTGATTTCAGAATTGGTGACACACTATTCACTACAGTTAAGTGCTATGGAATAGCTTCAATGTTACCTGCTATATATCAAAGCAATTTTCATCCCACTGCTTTTTTTATTGGAAAAATAAAAGGAAAACATACACGATGCTAATCAGACGAATGCACAGCCTTGGACGTGGAGAAGGCAGAGCGGGTTTACTGTCAAACAGTAAATACATGCATTGACTTCAAGACAAAATTGGCCTTGGAAGCGTGTTTGAATGACAGCCCCGCCCGGTGGGCAGTGCAGCTCTCTGAGACTATCTTATTACAGGTCTCACGAGGGTGGGTTGTGAGGTGCCGCTGAAGCTCTCCTTACATTACCATGCCGGTTTTGTTTTAAATTTGTTCTATGGAGGCCTTCTACCAAAACAAAACAAAACAAAACAAAACAAAAAAGAAAGAAACAGACACATACAGAGAAAAAGAGAAACGGACAGAGAGAGACACAGGAGTCAGAGAGACATGACCACCACTACCAACAAAAAGATAATTCCAGGGACATGATGCAGAGTACATTAAACGACATTCTTAGAAACCCCTCCCCCAGAAAACGAACATGAGGAAAACGACGTTTTCTTAGTCTAGATTTTATAAATTCTTTATGACACAGTAACTACAAAATTCAAAGCACTGGGGGGAAAGGGTTTGAAAAAGTCAAAGACAAACTTCTTGAGATGGGTTTTGCATATCTCTGTGGGCTGACTGAATACCATGGCTCTGGAAAGTTTGGGTTCCTTCACACTTCAGCTGTTAGAAAACGAGTATCACGAGCTTTGGGGAGTGTACCTTGTCTGCCTGCCTGCAGCCCGCACCTGACTGGGGGGTTGGGGGCAGGGGTGAGCACACAATAAAATAGCTGTCATGCCAGGGGGTGAAGAAACAGCAAAGTGAATTCCAACCTCAAAGGAAGAAAAAGGTTCTGGGATGAATAGAGTGGCATTAAGGAAAGGGGCCCCGCCCCTGAAGGATCAGAAAAGGAACGTTTTGGTGGCAGGGTGAAGGGCCAGAAAGAAAAGTATATAGAAAAAAGGTTAAGATTTAGTGTTTGTGCCTCTGACTTCAGTTCCCAGACAAAGAGAAAACATGGAGAGTTATCTGCAGGACTTATCTTTGTCAATATTGTTAATGCCATTTGACGGGAAAGAAAAAAATCCAAATGTGTCTCAAAATCAAGGGCTGGGCCTTCAAATGCTGATAGCTCTCAGTCTGTCTGTCTACACACCCCAGGTAGCAAAGTCCTCCTCAAACATCTTCGCTTAGCTTTTAGACTAAAACATAAAACACTCGTATTGTTGGTGTTTCTTTCCTGCTTGATCACAACGGAACTACAGTTTCCTGCTGCTTTCTGGACAATGAAACATGAACAAAAATGTAATTTAGTGTATTTAATACTTAACCCCTGTTCATAATCACCCTAGACTGACTCCTTAATGTTTTAAAGCCTTTAAAACATTTTTTTTTCCTGCAAATCTGCTCAAAGTTCCCTAATTTTAGCTTCATCGAACTTAATACAACAAAATACCTTCAAAAATACAGCATACCTGTAACGTCCATTTACAATGGTTTTTCAGTAGACCTATACTTCTCAAGTATAGGAATATGCTATACCATTGAAAGAAAAAAATAACTGTATTTAAATACTTACAAAAAAAAAAAAAAAGGAAACAGGAAAGTTTTAAACTTAAATCCAGTTCCCAAGGGGCGGGGGGGTAAAAGAAAGAAAAGCAATTCTATGAACGCTGCCTTTATAATGAACAATCAGAAATTTCACTAGGCTAATTTGACAGAAATTTTTCCTCATTTAAACAACATTACAAAAGTCCTGCATTATAAAATAGGGTAGAATAAATCAGTGTAATCAATAAAACTATACAACATACAAATTACATATCTTCTGAGTGGGCAGTTTATTCTCTCTCTTTGCAGTCATGACTACAACATGCTCACTAAAAACAGCTAAAACTGCCCAAACTATTGCTTAGTTTGTTTTGTTTTAAAAAAGGGTGCAATTTTATTGTATATACAACCAATTTACTGGTAATACCTTGGCTTATCGCAAGGTTCTGACAAAATGTTTGTCTAGGCTTTTTTCCCTTCACTGTGAAGCACTGAAAGCTGCTATTTTTTTTCTTTTTTTTCTTTTTTTTAGTGCACATATGTCATAATAAAGTAATGCCCAGCTAAGTGCTATAGGGGAAGGCAAAGTATGCTGGCTGGCTACAGGAAGTGACACCGTACACTGACAATCACACCATACAACAGCGCCAAACGACTATTCAACCGCTTATCAGACACATATGAAAATCCAAAATGTTTTATTTTATTTTTTTTTCCTTAAATAGAGATAACCAGTAAACAATTCTCAGAACTTGGAAGTTTAAAAACGTGCATATAAAAATGGGCATTATATACTTTTCATTGAATGTGGATTGACTGCAGTCTGCTAAGAAAAATGGGGTGTGGGAGCTGAAGAAAAAGGAAGTTGTCTTTTTTTTTTTTTTTTTTTTTTAAGGCTTGCTTGTGAAAGGAACAGTTGTAAAAACAAAATTGCTTGAAGCAGGGTCAGCTTAGTGCTTCACAGTTTGACTGCTTCTCTAAGAGGAGCCCTTCCTGCGCACGTGCATTCAAAAATCACAACAAAAAAGTACAAACACCTAAAACACACTGCGTCAAGTGCAGCACTGACTTTGGTCAAATAAAAAAAAATAAAAGAAAAATTAATAATCGCTAAGCTTTTTCTACATGATATAAGCAGGTATTGCATATTTTCATATATCTGGGGAGGGGGAATAAAGGAAGACTCCAAATAAATTGTAAAATGCAGCAACATCCAAAATACTGATATTCTAAGCATCTACAGATCTCAGAATAGCACTGCCACTGACCATACAGGACAATAAAGACTACTCCTATCTGCGGAACAACTAGCTTTCTATTTAGTTCTAGATGTTGGAACTGACGACGGCTGACATAAAAGTCACATTTACAAAAAGTGTCTCCAAATGCTTGACTAGGGAAAAACCCCTTTCAATAGAGGAGCATGTGCAACAATTCCACAAATAATCGCTATCCAGGGCAAGGCACATTGATATGGAATTTTTGTTTTCGTGCAAATTAAGGAAAAAAAACAAAACAAAACAACATTGTTTCGAGGGAAAGATGAGGAGCAAAGTGTCTTCCCAAGAATTTCAGTTACTTGATTGTATAGGACAGTAGTAGAACCCTTCTGAAGGGCTGAAAAACATAGTTTAAAGGCAAGTGCCTAGAGTAGGGATTACAATATTGTGTCTTAATGCACTCTACTTTATCCTACATTAACTATATAAAAATTAGTTACTAACACTAGAACATGCAGAGACTTTCTCTGATCAGCGGGGCTTGCCAACCAGAACGTATATATATGTATAGTATAGGAAACCTTCTTGAAGTTGCATGGGAAGCAAAGGGGTGCTTCGCTGTCTGGTAGAAAATTCACTTGCACTTTTTTTTTCTTTTTTTAACATAAGATACAGGACATTTGGGGGGTGCAAACTTTTTTTTTTTTTCCCCTTGATCTGAATGGGTACGAGCATTTGTGTCAGTATTGGTTTCATTATTATTATTATTTTCCCATAGCCCAGTTCAGGGACGCAAAGGTCTTTAAAATTTCTGGACAATCTCTGGTACAATGAGGTGTCTGATAACTGATAAATCCTATGTTGCCGGATACATGTAAAAATTTTCAGAATTGGCAGAATCCATTATAGTGACTTCTAGCTTATAAAATTAACAGATACCATGATTTATTTTAGTTATGTGCTTTGATAACAGAAAATAATTAATCAGCATTTAATGTTGTTAACATATTGTGGTAAAAGCACCATTAGATTTGTTTTTTTGTTTTTTTTTTGTTTTTTTAATTTTCCTTCAGTTTTTAAAGGGATACAAGTTTAACAATAAAAAACATAAAAAGCAAAAATAGCTCCCCTTTTTCTTGCAAGGCTGTTTTTTACCCCAATAATTTAGAGTCCTGGGGTGGAAGGACTTGAAAAACAAAAATAGAATTTTCAACAATCTCTATCTTACAAAGATATTTAGCTATCCAATGAAATTGCACTTTACTCAATTCAAAATTCGATTGTTTTGATTGATTCCTGTCAGTTTCTGTCAAAACAGACCATCTTCCCCATTTCCCTATGAATTTTTGTGTCATTGTTGAAATTGTTGAAAAAAAAGTTTTTTTTTGTTTTTTTTTTTTTAATGTAAGTGCAGCATTTCAAAACTTTTAAAAAACTGAATAGTAGTAGTAGTAGTTTGCCATTTTCGGAATTGTTCTGCAACGTGAGTGAATTCATCGTCCTTGCGGGCCATGTTATATGCTGAACTGCTAACTGCTGAACCAAACCAAACTAAAAGAAAAAATAAAACAGGAACGTAACCGCATTTTCTTTTTCCAAAATGTTACAGAAAACATTGCCCTTTGACTGTCCCGTAAGTTATATATTGCAGATCTCAGCTACTACAAAAGATTTAGTTCTCCGTGTGCCTCTCGATTGCTCGAGGATCACACCGGTGTGGGTAAATTCATGAAATACTGTGAAACAGCCAGGCTCCGTAAGGGAAGTGTGTTACAACGGGAAGTCAGTGAGCAAGGGTTGACCTCCTCTATCCACATCACCTAATGCTCACGCTACCACGGAAACACTTCATATGTTACAAAGCCCAACCATTTCCAGCACCATATGAGAAAATTACAACAGTCCCTAAAGTATTTTAAAAAAAAATCCCAAAAGGTTATGGCCTTTGCTGTTTGACCATAATGCTTGCTGTTTCCTTGTACAAATTGATTTGAATCGGTTTTTCTCCCCTTCCACTGACAGTGAAGTTGTAACTGCGCTGGGTTGAGGTTGCGTCCATGTTACAGAGTTGAGAAGGGGTCAGGTGGTCTGTCTGGTGGATGGTGGGACGCTGCGACTTTTATCCCAGGTACCAGGACTGGAAGACAAAAAGAAAAGTAGAATTAGAAGAACAACTCCTAAAATAACATATTTTTAGAAAGTGACCTTCCAACCATGAAATCTAGATCTACATTAGGGATGAAGGGGAGAAGCCCTGGGAAAAGAAAGGAATGACAAACAGTAGCAATTCTTGAGACAATGAATCTGACCTTACTCCTCTGAAATGAAAATTAAATGTCATCTTTGGGGTTTGTCAACATTCTGAGTATGTCTTACACAATGAAGTATTTATGGTCACTTGATAGACAGGGGTTTTGTAGTTTCGTACATACATATACCATACCCGTTGCAGTTGAGTTGATTCTGACTCATAGCGACCCTATAGGACGGGGTAGAGCTGCTCCATAGGGTTTCCAAGGAGTGTCTGGTGGATTCCAACTGCCGACCTTTTGGTTAGCAGCCGAACTCTTAACCACTACACTTCGTGGGGGGCAGTAATGAGGGCAGGGAACTTGATGATCTTGTTAACCACTGGCTCCCTAGTATCCAGCACAGTGCCTGGCACATAGAAGGTTCTCAATGTAGAAGAGTCGCATGAATGGAGTATGGGTGAGGGGAGAGGTTTCACGTGGCGATGAATGGCCATTCCTATGAGTTTCACAATGTCTTCCTTTAAATGCACTAAAAATGTTATCGTGACATTCTCTTAACAGGTACAGATGGTCAACAGTATTGAAAGAATCATCACCACCACCAGTTGCTGCCAAGTTGACTCCAACTTATGGTGACACCATGTATATCAGGGTAGAACTATGCTCTGTATGGTTTTTAATGGCTGATTTTTCAGAAGTAGATCACTAGGCCTTTCCTCTGAGGTGTCTTTGGGTAGACTCGAACCTCCAACCTTTCTGTTAGCAGCTGAGCACGTTAATTGTTTGCACCACCAGGCACTCCGACAGAAGAACAGTAGAGGTAAAATAGAAAAAGCACTGAATCAGGCGTCCTGGGTGGTCTTGGGCAAGTCACAGCATCTCTCTTGGACTCAATTTCCTTTTATGTGGGGGAGGTAGATTTTATGATGTAAAATGTTTCTTTCAGCTCAATATTTTTAAAGCAATATTTTAAAAAATGACATGTAATAATGAAGTGGTATCAAAATTTCACGCTATTAACTACCTTGATATCTGAAGGAAAAATAAGGCATAGCCTTTGTTCATGCTTCTGTTCCTTCAACATTTATTTAGAACTTTCCATAGGCCTGCTCCTTAGAAGGGAGAACGCTGAGACCTTATCTCACATACTTTGGACACGTTATCAGCAGGGGCCAGTTCTTGGAGAAGGACATCATGCTTGGTAAAGTAGAGGGTCAGCCAAAAAGAAGATGATGATGAGATGGATTGACACAGTGACTGCAATAAGAGGCTCAAGCATAGCAACTATTTTGAGGATGGCACAGAACCGGGCAGTGTTTCGTTCTGTTGTCCACAGGGTTGCTATGAGTCAGAACTGACTTGATGGTACCTAACATGACACCACCACCACATGCCTGCTGGGCCCAGTACCAGTTCTCTTTTCCTTTCATAAATCCTTAGGTGATAAGCTTTGATTTGCAATCTCTCGTGATATATCACTTCACCTGCTGGCATTCCTTTCTCTGTTAGCTAAACAAAGTGTCCAATTATGGAGGAATATAAAAGTTAGTTTTTCAAATGAAATACAGAAGTTATGGCTTTTGCTAACTTTTTTTCTAGAGATACCCTGTCAAATTCACTACATTTATCATTGTTCACAGAAAAATCAACAAATTTCTAGCAAAAGTAAATGCTTCGGAATTCTGCAAGTTGACAATATCAGAAAGGGTTGTATTTGGGTTAATCCAGTCAGATGAGGCTCATCCTTGTCCAAGAGATTCAATTAGGAAAGTAAGGACTCATTTGATCCCAGGGACAAATGGCTAAATGATAGCTACGTGGAGGTTGGTATAAGATTTCCTGGTCACACAAGCAACCTTTGATTTCCAGAGGAGTTTAAAAAACCTAAGCCCAAACCAAGAAACTACTCATCCTGTATACTTTTAATTGTTATTCTTTGACCACATGCTTTGAGGAACACAATAAAGCCTTTTGTGTCCTGAAAGGAAATCATCCTGGCAAATATACACAACCTAAATGTAACTGGATGAAAGAAAAAAGAGGGGAAAGAGAGAAGGGAGGCAAACTCCAAATTGTGTATTTACTAGGCCTCTCCTAAGAGTTGACTCGGATCTACTTTAGAGGAGTGTTCTCTCTTTAGCAAAACAGCCTCAAACTTTGGGTGTGTCTAATAATGCTTAAAATTTCTGTTCTCACACTTTCTAAGTCAGTTGTGAAATCCCAGAATTCTTAAATCGATACTACGCGGTAGTTCTGGAAGCAAACGCTTGGGACCCAGTGAGTCAGCAGGGGGAGCAGTTTCCCATACCACAGTTCCTGGACACAACCTCCGTGCACTACAAAAATCTGCAGTGCCTCTCTGCGCTCGTCTTAAAAAGCAAAGCAAAAAAAAAAAAAAAAAAGTTTCTTCACACATCTTACTATTCAGTATGTGCCTTGCAGACAAGGTTACCCCAGAGCAGCTCTGTAATCCTTCACTGAAATAGGCTTTATTGATTGCTCTGGTCTATTGTTCTCTTTTCAAGTCCCCCAAGTTCAAGTTCATCCTGGTGTTACATCATGTCTGGTTGCTAAGAGCAACCAGACAGACCCAGACGTGACTATCATTAGCAAGAAACCCTCCGCTCTCCTCCCACCAACCTTCCAGTGGTTCTGACGTAGCAGGCCCACTGCAAACACATTGAAGTATTTATTCTGCCTAATTTATGACCTACACAGCAAGCAAGACCCCCACTCCAAAAACCAACACTGTTGTATATTTAATTAATCTGTCTTTCTCTGGCACTTGGGAAAGTTAGACAAAGAACTAATTATTGTGTTTCACTCTCCACACTTTTCTTTTGGGGGGTGAATATTTGCATGGGAAAGAAAACTACAAGGCTCAGCACTGGCCCCCCTCCCCTTTTTCTTTTTTGCCCTATTGACATTTCATGAAATACTTTAGCTGCTTAAGGGAATTAGAAAAAAAAAATGCGATGTGAATGTTACTCCTTCTGAGCTGGTATTCAGTAACACAAATCAACTCATGACATGTTTAAATTTAAATGCTAACCACACACTCTCAGAGTTACTTTAAAGGTTAGTTTTTAATCAATAGAAGTTGCTGACTCCGGGTTTTTGAGCTGCGCACTGCAGCTCTCGGGCTTTTGTCTAATGTTAAAGCTTTCAAACTTTTTTTTTTTCCTTGAGATGATTTTAGCAATGATTTGCAGACACAGAAGGCTATTGTGCTCTGACCAGCAACATGTCAATAGAGGAGCTGAGTTGCCCTGTGGTGGGGTGTCAATATGACTCCTGAAGGCGTGGGTTGGGGGTCTTTAATAACCCGTGAAAAAACCTTAATTAACCCTTTCAGGTCCAAGCTAAAAACCTATTCTTAAACTTTTGTCACTCCTGTAAATTGACCATTAGGACTTATTTCAACATCACGCTAATCTTCACGACAATTAACCCAGCTACTTGACCAAGAGTTTCCAGAGTGGGAAGTTAGTTAGGGGAACCACGCAGGGAACTTTTTTTTGGAAGGGGAATAAGGTCTCTGATTAAATCATGTATTTGGTGGAGGCGGCAGATGAACAGGTACAATAAAAAAAAAATTGATCATCTCACCAATCAGTTTGTAGCGGAAGACACTCTTAATACCGCTGTGATGAGTGTGGTATTTGGATGTGTGTAAGGCTCCCGACTTCCATAAACTTTCACCAAATCTTAATAACATAAGATGGTCAAGATAATGTTTGGAAAAGTCCATTTTTCTCTTGTGATTTTTTTTTCTTACGTTAAGCAGGCATTGCAAGTTCCAAAACATGTATAGAAGAATGCTTCTTAGTATTTTCTACTTGGGCCATATAAGAAAAATATAAAAGAAATCTGAGGTGGTTAAATTGTTGGGGTTGAGTAGCCAATCACTGGGAAAATGCTGATGTATTAAATAAAATTCATTTATGGAGAGTTAAAAAACTGTCTTCAGACATTTACTGACATAAGCTTATGTTTTATATGGTTTCTGCCTTCAAACTTTACAGCCCCTTAACCTAACCTACTGTATCCAGACGGACTACAAAGGAATCTCTGTCCCTTATCTACAGTGAGTTTCAATATTACAATAGAATATAGGATGATGTTATCTTGATATATTTACATCAAGGAAGTAAACATGAAGCTTTGATCTATTTTTTCCTCAGGACTTTTCAGCTATAGTTGTTCTGGTGTTCCATAAATCCACCCTCCCACAAAGGATCTAGTTAAGTAAAATTACTCCATTACATTTACGATTTCTACAGTTTAGGCTATGCTGGGGGGGAGGGGGAGAGAAGGAGGGGTGACTGTCCTCTTTCAGTGTTCAAGGTGAAACATGAAAAGAAATCTGCAGCCCAGGACAAGAGCTCAGCTTTCCTTTTCTCCAGTCAAATGAAGAAGTAATCTCATCAGGTTGGAAAGTGCTGACTAAGAATTTAATAAAGTGCCTGCAGATGTGGCGTCTCTAAGGTATTCAACTCATGTAATGCAAAACAGCTCCACACTGAACGTGCTTATAAAATTTCATTTAACCATTGCAGGGCGACTTTTTTTTTCTTCACTGTTCTCTAAGGAGTTTTATCACACTTCCCACCCCTTAATTTATAGCTCCGTGGAAGTTTGAATCCCATTCTGCCAGGATTCTGGAATACTCACAGTAGTCAGGTTTTATGAACCGTAAACAATATCTATCAGACTGCATCCTACACAGGAAGCCTGAAATGGCAGTAGTACCTTTGACAGTGCCAGTCTGTTTCCTTTCTTAGGCCATATGACAAGCAGTTAGAAAACTGAGGCCATTTTCAATTATTTGTTCATGAGGCTGCTGAAGACGAAGAGGCTGATGAAGACAACGGACTCAACTCTA